GGGAGCAGGAGCAGACGGGAGCAGGAGATCAGGAGCAGACGGGAGCAGGAGCAGACAGGATCAGGAGCAGCAGCACTGGGATAAAAACTGATCCTCCCCACGTACAGAGCCTAAAAACCAGAGGACTCAGCAGGGGAGGAACGGTGGAGGATCAGGAGAGGAGACGGATACAAAAACCCTCTGTCCACTGGCCGCCAGGATCCACGACATGAACCTTAGAATAAACAGAACTGAACAGAAAACAACATGTACTGATCTGGCCCTGATAGCTGGAACTGAGCCCAATGTAAGGTATAAGATGAGTGATGATTAGGAGCTGGAAAGAAGAAAGCAGGTGAAAGGCAGGAGTGATTAAGGCCAGCTACCTCAGCAGATCAGGACAGTTTCCATCAGGAAACTGTCTCAGATTTATCTCGTAGTTTTGTGCATAGAATAAAAAATAATTCACAAGGTCCGTTAGAAACATTAGGTTTAAAAACCAACACTGCATGTCTGATTGACGAGGATCTAATTAAAGAATGATCGGCATTAATTCACAGAGAATGAAATATTTATAGGGAGAGGATTCTAGAACTCAGTGACAGGAGAGGAGATTACTGGTTTAATATGAGCCAGATGTGGATCATTTTATTTTTATTTAGTTATATTTACAGTACATGAAGAACTACTGAAATTATTTTCAGATTACACATAAATAGAATAATGAATTCCACAGGGGAGCTCAGATTAGACTCAGATCCAAGATGGCTGAATAAAGCTGTTAGACGCTCCAGGTTGGTCCTGCTGACAGAAAGCAAGAAATATTTGTTTTCATTACGACTCATTCAGCTGAAGTTTTTAAGGTTTAGGACCAGAGATCTTCTGATCTGGGCTCATTAGACGGTGTCCGTTGGCAGGCCCCCCCCACCCACACACACCAGATTGAGCATTCAGATGTCGGCTGTTGGCTCACAGATGTCTTCTTTCAGAGCAAACTTTGGAGGCCGGTTTGGTGCAGAACCATCTCTGACAGCTGAGAGATCCAACCGGGCCTTTGGGCTAAACTGGACAGAAAGGCTCAGTTCAAACCAGCCAATCACAGCGTGTTTCTGCTGGTCTCACTTAAAAAGAAGGACCGGCGGCTCTGCTATGATCCTGCAGCGATTAAAAGGTCCTGAGTGGATCTGAACCTTTCCTCTTTGCTTAGAGAAGTAAACGTCACTCCACCTGTGAGGGCAGGTAACTTCTGCATAACACCATTTTATTTGTGCATTATGGTTCAAAATGAACAAAAATATAAAAGTTGTTATATAACAATATAAAATGTCGCTATCAAAAGCATTGAAATGAAAAATAAAGGCCACTACTAATCAAACCGGCTGCTGCTATATCTCGCTATATTTACACCAGTCACCACAAACTTCACCTTTATACATCCACAGGCGCATTGAGCTGAACACAGCTGTGGGTTAAACATGTCCGAGTTACCATGGTAACGGCATCACTGTGAGACAGGGACATCTGCTAGAGCCAACAACTGAAAACAAAAGTCTGTCTGCAGCATCCAGATCAACTCTGATAGAAAATACATAGATCATGTCAACATGGCGTCCATATTTCTGTCACCAGTTTATGAAGAACAACGTTTGAAATATGAATAAAACCAGAGTCAGCGTCTAAAACCTGCTAATAGACATCCAACCAACACAGCTGATGGATGGATGATGGATGGATGGATGGATGGATGGATGGATGGATGGATGGATGGATGGATG